AATGGAGTGAAAAATAACAATTTTTTAAAAGACTGTGGTCCAAATAAAGAGGAAAAGAGAAATTCTCATTTTTAAAACTGAGGAAAGTTCTCTTAAACATCTTACATGTTCATATAAGAAGTAGATCAGAACTACCAAAAAAAAAAAAGGAACTTATAGTTGAGAAGATAGCAGCTGCACAAATGTTGACAGTTTGCAAAGCATTGTGACTTGGAAACAGCTCAAGCATGGGCTTATTGGAAGGCATGCACATATATGTCTCTTAAAGATAAACTCCTGGTGATCTGTCATGCCAGTGATTTGCAAACCCACTTGTCAGTCCCATTTCCAGTAACATGGCTGAGCAAAACAGTCCTGTCTTAAACGGCACAGACACGTGAAAATGCCTGCCCTTGGTTTCTTTGCTTATGGGGCTCCACCATGGGGGGAAAAAATCTCCCTAGCTATAAGATGTTTTATCTTTCTCCTCTGAAACCTGACACCAATACCCCTGAAGAGCTTCAGTGACCTTGCTCTGTCAATCACCAAAACCAACCAGCCTGCTAGAGCAAGACAGGCTTTTAGCCAACTTAAAAAATTAAAACCTAAAACAGCTGGGAACAGTTATCTCGCAAGCCCTGGCTCATCCTAAGAACACATCTAGACTACCCAACCTAATGCTGAGCTCTCATCTACTGTATTGCAAGAGCAGCCAGCATCTCTGGAAAGTCTTAGCCTGGTGTTTCTATCTTTAGTCCAAAAATCTTCCCCTCATTCCTCTGGATTTTTTTTTATTTATTTAATCTAAGAAAATCATTTTTACATGCTATCTTTTTTTTTATTTAAAATGGTATATAAATTGCTTGGCACTTAAGGCTTTTCATTTATTTATTTATTTAAGTTGCCCATTATTTCCTCTCTCTTTATCTTGGGAGCAGCCCTAGCAAGTAGTCACCTCTGTCCTGAAGGAAGAGAGCAATGCAAATCTCTCTACAGCTGTGAGCAATAGGTCTTGCAAAATGGCAAGATCAAACAAGACGATGTGATTTTTTTTTTTATTTTATTTTTTCACTGAAGGGAATCTTTCTGCTGCACTACATGAGATCACAATGTAACTGCCGTCCTGCGGCCAAATTGTGGCTTTTCATATAGTATGTGCATACACACAAGCCCTTGGATAGGACAGTAATGAAGTCAGACAAATTGGCTTAGTGAATTTCAGGGAATCTAGTGAAATATCTTTAAGCCCTTAACAGTTGAGGACAGTTAGGGCCCGATCCTGTTTCTTTCGAAGTCCGTTCCAAAATCGACAGAAAAGCGATCAGCATCAGATCCTTTCTTCAGCAAATCAGGGAAAAAATTCGAGGAGCACCTCGTGCACATTTGCAGCACTCTCGCTTTTATTGACGCTTATCTTTTCCTTGGTAGCAACAGTGGGTGTGGGGTGGACTTGGATTCAGAGATCACTGCTTGCAGCTCTTCGCTTCAGAGCGCTTGAATACGAATCTGCAGATTTAGCTCACTGTGCTGTTGGGAGTAAAGAGAATGCAAGTTGCTGTGGCGTCTAGCTTCATCCGATCTCCCCACGTCTCCGTTTCTTTCCTGTCACTCCCTCTCCTAGTGACTTACATATTTCTTGGTTTTTCTGAAGTGCTGTGCTATCTGTGTGGGTCTTTCTCCCTTCGTGTCATTAGCTGCGTGACTCAAGAGAGACAGAGAACATGCATGCAAACCAGCACGTCTGGGGGCGAGGGGGGGGAGTTGGGGTTAAAGAGGGGAGTTGGTTTATTCGCCCATGTTGGAAATGCAGTGTCTCTTTTAGTCCTAATTGAAACCAGTTAGCCACAGCATTGGCTGTACAGTAGTCTCTGTATAAAACCACTGAGCTCTCTGTACGTCTGGCTGCCTCTGGCACGCCGACTGCAGCTGGTTCTAGGAGCATCGTGCGGACAGGACATGCGGAGTGCGTTCAGAGGGGCCGTCTGTACACAACGCTTAAAGAAACTTGTTTCCGAATCGGGCCATCCATCATCCCCACTGACTCCTGTGTCTACAGCCCTTTATGAATCAATAATGAGTCGGGAGATAGAAAAGTAAATATGCCGAGGTTTCATTAGTGCCCGCTGAGCAGTAATATTTAACCCTTTCGCGGCAGGGGGACGAAAAAGTGTCTCGAGTCCAGGTTTAATAAGCGCCAGGGGAAAGCAAACAGATGTGCAGGATGAGGAAAGCCCAAGAGGAAAGCGAAGTATGATGACCAGCAGTAATCTTGGGAGAGCGCCGGTACAACTTCACTGGAACCCTTGCTGGTTCTGAAATAAGCTGGGTCAATGTTTGTCTGCACCAAGGTGTTGCATGCGTGGAATTAATTTGTATCCGCCTCAGCACAGATCACGGAGAGCCCATCTGTATAGAGACACACTGGCGATTCGCATACATTGTTTTTAAGGGTGACCGTCTCTTACTGTCCTCACACAATTCGCCCTTCTGCACTATTCGACATTCTGCCTGCTCCTGTTCTAACCACACCTCGCCACGTGTGTATTGAAGGGACTTCTCCCGTCTGTGCTTGGTGACTGATCTGTGGGCTATTTTCCTTGTTAGCTTTACAAAAATATATACGCACAACTGAACATCATTTCTCTCATAATTCTTCTTTAATTCTTCCAACAATGTTACAGAAAGTTTCATGTTTAACCCCCCGCCCCCATCCCCCAAAATCCGTATCATTATTAGCATTTCCAAAGAGCGGGGTGGCGTGGTGGTGGTTTTACTGATCACACGTCTCAAAGCAATAGGTTCCTAACGTGGGTCGTTCCTCCTGGTGAAATAAGGAGGAAGGGATCGCCAGCTGTGAGCTTTTCGGAGCCATAGAAGATGCCCGCAGAGCAGGAGAAGTGCCCAAGCTCACACAGCTTTAAGCGGGTGCAGCGTGTTTCTCATGACACGGGAAGCAAATATACTGCTCTCTGATTATTTCAGGGGACACCCCGCGTCTCCACGCGCAGCTGGGTTCAGTTCTAACCAGAACGTCGCATCCCTCTTCAAAGCCAGTTGTGTGTGCAAAGGTGCTTTGCACTAAGTGGACACCCGCGTGCACCCAAGCGATCGAGCTGGAGATCCCTTCTTAGTCCTCTGTGGTGCTTTTTTAATTTTAAATGGGTAGCTCTTTGGTCACTTTAGTATTTCTACAAGTCCGAGCAGTTGTTTTTTAATCAGATAAATTAAAATTCATTCAGAGCACTGAACACTGCATAGACACTTCCTACATAAATGGACCTCTGCCCCTTGAACCTTTCCACTGACACCGTTATTCTGTGGGAATCCAGCCCGCTAAAGCCACTATAGTGCTCCTCGCAGGCCTGTTTTCCTATTTTTTTTTTTGTTCAGTTAGCCCTGGTGATTTATTCAATGCATGCATGAGAGGACATTAATATGCGGTGGCAGTTCCCACAAACAATATTCCTCTCAGGCTTTCTGCAGCCATAGATTGGCAAAGAAAAAGGCAGTACATGGAAAATAAGGTTCTGACATCTTTTCTGTATAACCCACTGTCTCCCTTCCCAACGTTAAAAGGAAGGATGACATTATATTCCTGCAGCGGTCTGTGCACTGAGGTGTTTGGGATCAGACTGCTGCCCCTTTTTAAAAGCTAAAATGCTTCGCTATCATTTAGCTGGGCTTCCTGCGTCTGACAATGCAATGATGTGTATGGGGCTTAAGGGAGGATTTTGTTGTGGAGTTACTGTATTTGCTTTTCATTTTTCCCACACTCTGCTCTTAACTGATTTGTTTTCCAAACATGCCGTGTGTCATTCCTGCAAGGGCAGCTTGCTCTCCTTGGGAAGGGAGGATAGTTTGGGGGTTTTTTAAAGATGGATTTAAAGTTAAATCCCCTGTTCACAGTTTGAAAGTACCAATCCTCAACCTTCCAGGCTGCTGCTGCAGCTTTCCTTGCAACTTTCTAATTCCCACACCAAGGCGCTGGGCAGAACATAGGCTGGCTGCAATTGACTTAGATAAATGGTCATCATCCACTTTGGACTTTAAAGCAACTAATTGCTTAGCTGTTGGGATAGTGGCGATGTAGGGGGCTCTGGGGAAGAAGTAGAGCGGCAGTGTTGTATTCTCGCTCTGTGAGCACCTGCTGTTACTGAACACAAGGAGTTAATATCATTGTCATGTTTCAAAATGCAGGAATAAACAAACTGGGCAGATTGAGAGGCGAGGAAGACAATGGGAGGTGGAGTGTGCTGCTCGGATCCTAGAGGGACCCTATTGATCACGCTTTTAAGGTTCTAAACCTTTTAAAAATGTTTCGTTAGAGCATTTTAATAATGACTGATTTCTTCCCCAGCCCCCACTATAGTTCTCAGAGGGAGACATGTTAAACTTAATGGGCCCATGGGCTGCTGCATCAATAACTTTAAATTTATCTACACATCCACAGTGCAAGCAAGGGAGTTGCTTCGGAGGAGTGGGGGAGACTGTTTCGCAGGGAAAGTACAGACCCTTTGAAACCAAGCTTCACAGAGGGAGCCTGGGAAGTGTTTGAAAGGGAAACTCTGCACAACGCCTCCACTGCCAGTGAGACCTTCAGCTCTTGAATGTAACAAGCAAGCTGCCACCGTTCTAAGGTTTGCTACAGTGAGTCCGTACAAGTGTCCTCAGTAAGAACCATCCTGCTGTTGGATGCTGGATTTGAAAGTAGCACGTTTAGCTGCTTTAGCGTCTATCCGTGCACAGTAAATCCCATGGCATTGTGTTAGAGCAGAGTCTGGAGCCAAAACTACAGTGTAGCATAAACCATGTTAAGGGTTAGAGATGGATTTTGCAACTCTGCACAGATGTGTGTGGAATGATGACCCTCGTTGTAGAATTAAAACAACTTCCAAAAATCACTTAAAACCAAATGATGCATGTCAAAGATCAGCTTAGCTGGATCGTCCCCTTTTGATATATATTTAAGGTCCAAGAAAGTTTAAACACAAGACATTGGAGAAGTAAACCCTTCAAAGAAATGCCATTTCAATTATTTTAATAAGCAAAATAGGAAACAATTTTAATAACCAAAAACAGAAACCAGTCTGAATAAAACTACAATAGACCAGGTTTTTTTTAATATTTTTCATATCATAAGCAGGATTTGAAATTGATCCCTTCAGAACTTTACATGAAATAAAAACAATTTTTTTCGCTGCTGCAATGTTTTGATTTCAACACAGTTGAATCAGTAAAAACCAAAGATCGTTTTCTGATGCATGACTAATATCCACAATATTTAAAACTGCAAGCACCATGCTGTTCATTACAATCTTGTTATTACTGTTAATTTATAAACTAATACAAACTTAAAATGCATCTGGCCAGCAGTGCCAGCAATCCTAAAAGGAAACTAAAATAAGTTTTCATTTTGGTATTTTTGTCAGTGCAACGTAAAATCCTTTTTCTGACCTGCAGGAGGAAAAAAAGTAACACCCATAACACTCCAAACTACTACTACACAACTGCAAAGAAATTTGGCTAAAACTTTTGCTGCATGGGGAAACAGAGAAGCAGATTAAAAATCATTGCAAAATAATACACTTAAGTTGCAGTATGTCTCTTTAAAAAACGTTTCAGTTTTCTATACATTCCAAGCCCTTTCATCTTCTGTTGCCATTGATAAACCTAACTGAAATCAGAACTGGAACATGTCGTTGTATACTGTTCTGCCTACAGCGATTGCAACTGACTCATGTCATCCTGTGTTTTGGAAATCAAGCATCAATTGTTTCTTAAAATAAAACACATTGTAAATTCTTTGTTTCCTGAGTGTATAATAAATCAGAGAAAAATATGGCCAAAGCTATGAGCACTGCTGTCTGAGAACTGTCCTGACGTCAAAATAATAGGGTCACTGCCACTTAAATTGTGGAGTAGGATGTAGCTGCTTGTCTGCTGGCCCTTTTCACTATTATGACGGCCAGGTGTGTCAGTGCAATCGAGTTGCTTTTATTCTGCCCCAACAAACAAAAACCAAAATGAAAACTAAAGAAAAAATTACAACTTAAAAGTGCACCAAATATACAAAGTTGTTTTCTGAATGCAAATGCAAAATGCCCATAACGTTTTTTATTATCTCTTTACTTTAATAACAAACCATATAACCAGCCTGATGAAATGTTATTTTGTCTTCCTGTGCCGTGTGATGTGGCAGATATTTACAAGCTAACAACTATAACAAAACACAAAACAAAAAACCCCAAACAAACAAAAAACCCCAACAAAAACTGCACAAGCAGTAAAAAGTTGATAACGTGTGATGCTTTTCTTATCAATGAAACAAAGCTATGAACGATGATCAACATGCTAAAGTTAAACAAGAAAATGGTACAAAATAGAAATTATTACCATACATGTCCAGCATGCAGGATTAATATTTTTAATGCAGATTTTCGTATTTTTTTCTATATAATCAAGCAGGCAATAAAACTGATGTTTTTTTCTTGTCTCGTACTGAATGTCCCATCTGAGTCCCGTAACTACTTCTCAAAGCAGGCAATGTATGAAGGGTTTGCATATATTGTCCTTCCCTTATTCTCCTTCCCAAGCAGGTAGCATGTGCAGGAGATGCTGCTGCGTGAGTCTTCTTTCCTTTACTCCCAAACAGGTAATATGTGATCGATCGCTTGCTCATTGTCCCTTTTTAAAAAAAACAAACAAACCACAACGAGCCCACACAGTTCTGAAAGCAAGCGATCTATAAAAACGCTTGACGTGTCCTTCCTTTCTTCTGTTTCTTTCTTTAGCTGGCGAACTAAAGATAAAAAGTTGCACATCTTTCTCTCCCACCTCCCCCCTAGCCTGCTTTTCACAGCTAATCTAGGAGACAGGATGCTGCAAGTATTAAGTCTCTCTTCTTCCTCTCTCCCTTCTTTCTCTCAACTCAAGCAAGCAGATGGATGGAGATGTCAGAGGAGGATGGGAGAAGCGGGGAGGCGGAGGGGCGGGGGGAGGAGGGCGGGGGGGTTCTGTGTTTAAAGGACTCACATGAAGAACTCGGGAGAAGATGGGTTGTCACTGGTGGATCCGGCCTCCCTGAAGCCATTGCTGGCAAGTTTCTCACACTTGAGCTTGTAGGCGTCTCTTTCTCTGGCCAGCCGGGTCACCTCTTGCTTGAGCTGTTCCACCTGCTGGATCAGCTGGGTCTTCTCGTTCTCCAGGTGGTGCTTCTGCTGGACTCGCTTATACCTGCAGGACTGGGCATAGCCCCTGTTCTTCAACGTCCTCCTCTTCTGCTTGAGGCGGATCACCTCGTCCTTGGTGAAGCCCCTCAGGTGCCTGTTGAGCTCCCTCACCGACATGGAGACCAGCTGTTCGTCCGAGAACCTGTCTTCCACGCTGTTGGAGGAAGGGGGCTGCTGGTGGGCGCTCTGCAGCTGCTGGGAGGAGGTGGAGGAGGTGGAAGGGGTGGGAGACGCCTGGTGGTGGTGGTGGTGGTGGTGGTGATGGTGGTGCGGGTGGCCGCTGTTGACCAGGTCCTCGTGGGTGACCCCCGGGTACTGGTGGTGCTGCTGCTGCTGCTGGTGGTGGTGGTGGTGGTGGTGGGCCCGGAAGCTCTCAAAGCTTTGGAGCTGCTGCGGCATCTGGTGGGACCCGATGAGGGCTTCCACCGCGTCCTCCGGGGTGAGGCTGAGCGTCTCCGGGTTCATCTGCTGGTAGCTGTTGGCCATCCAGTACAGGTCCTCCAGGTGGGTCTTCTGCTCCGTGGGGCTGAAGCTGGGCGAGGAGGGCACCGAGCTACAGGGCGTGCTGATGGGGGTGGAGGAGACGGAGCCGGCCGGCTGCAGGCGGGTGCAGTGGCGGCCGGGCCGGTCGGCTCTGCCCAGGGGCTCCTTCTTCACGTCGAATTTCATCAGGTCGAAGTCGTTGACGTACTCCATGGCCAGGGGGCTGGTGGGCAGCTCGGGTCCGATGCTCAGCTCGCCGGCCATGGCTGTCTCGCAGGCACCTCTGGGCTGGAGCGCTCACTCCAGGGCACCGTCGGGGGGGAGTGCTGGCCGCGCTCCCTCGGACTCCAGGTCAACTTCGCGGCGGCGGCGGCGGCGGGCTGGCGGAGGGCAGCCGAGCCAAGCGGGCGGAGGAGGCGGAGGCACCCGGGCCGCGAGGCGTGGGGTAGCGGCGTCTGCAATGCAATGCAGGCTGCAGCGGCTCCCACGGCTAAGAAAACCCCACGGGCGAGGTGGGAGGCAGGAAGCAGCAGGAGCCTCCCCACCGCAATGCTGGCGGTGCAGCCTGGCCTCTTTTGCAAAGGAAAAAGCAGGAGAGATTCTGTGCCCCGGCGGGGGTCGGTTTGTAAGTCCTGAGCCTCGTCGTCCCCGTCCCCCTCCACCCGCTCCACTGCAGGCGCGGAGCCGGAGCTCGCTGCAACTTTCCCGGCAGAGCAGCGGGCGGCGTGTGCTGGAGGGTTGCTGCTGGGTGGGTGATTTTGGTGGCTGGAGTTTTTGTTTTTTTTGTTTTTTTTGTTCGCTCGCGATGAAGGGAAGGGATGGGGGAGGTGGGGAAATCTTGTCTCGGCTTTAGCTGCCGCCTCCAGCTCCTGTTGTGCAGCTGTGATTTGCGAGGCAGCCCCCCTGGCTGCTTATATTCCTTTCCCGATGACACTCAGAGAGAGGGGGCTGGGACCGCCAGGCAGCTTCTCCAATGGGAGCTCGGCCGCGGAGATCCTGGGGCTGCCGGAGGAGGGGCCGGGCTCCCACAATGTGACAGCTCCCGACGAGTCAGCTGACTAGCAGCTGGAGAACAAGACCAGGCAGCAACTCCAAACCTTTCTTTTTTTTCTTCTTCGTCTTCTTTCTTTCATGTTTTAATCTTCCCACTTTCTCTCCCCGATCTGCTCCCCCCCCCTTTCTGTCTCACTCCCTTCCCTTTCTCTCTTAGCCTGTGTAATTCACAAAGAAGAAGGGGGGTGGGGGCAGATCCAGCGTATGTTTCACTTGCTGGCCATCCCTTTGTTCTAAATATAACGAAGTCCCTCTGCCCACTCTGTTTTGTGGGTGTGGGAGGAGGGAATGGTTTGAGGGCAACTTTTAATTGTCCGCTTTCCAGGGGCACAGTCAAAACACTTAATTTGTTGGAGGATTCAACCATGATTGCTGCTTGTGGGGGGGGGGGGTGAGAGAGAGAGGGTTGGGAAAAAGAGGAAAATAAAGAATAGTTGCCCACAGTCGGTGTGTGCCAGCTGTCGTTATATAATCGAAGAAAACCTCAAGTTAAAAATACCTCCCCCCAGGAAAGCAGTTAGCGCTGGCCCAGACTATTGCAAATATCGGGGCGAAGGGGAAAATGGACGGTAATTACATTTCAGTTCTAAGGAAGATCTTTGATTTCCTCTTCTGCTCCTCGAGTGACTGCATGCAAAGAAGAATCGGGTTGTAAGATTTTTTTGGGGGGGGGGGTCCAGTAACAGGACTGTGTTTTTGTTTGAACATTTTGTAACGATTAAAGGAGATTAAGGTTTTTTTTTAACTGTTTTTACGCTCAAACAGACATAAAGGACGACCCCACGTGGCCGTTTTGAGAAAAGCACCAGCTAGAGGAGACAAAAAGAGGAGCACAGAGAATTACAGCTGAAGATGTAGAGGGGGGAAAAAGCAAATCGGTGCAAGAGGAACAGAAACAAACAAGGAACATTTCTGTGATAATGAGCTTTACCCTATACCAACAGTGTTAACGTCTCCCTTTAAACCCCCACCTGGAACATAGAGAACGTGTTGACATGATCATTCTCTACTTGAGTCTGCCGGGTTTCCTTCCTCCACCTGACTCTTTCGACATCCACAGTAATAATACCACTGTCGTTTTTCTGCCTGTGTCATTATTCAATTACTTAGTTTCTGATGCGCACACAAAAGTCCAGGCTGATTTTCAGGATGGACAGAGGCACCTTTCAGGGAAAAAACGTGGTGGTACTTTTTTTTTTTTTACCCTCCCCTCGTGAAAAAGATTCTATTCAAATCCCAAACAGGGAAAAGCAAGAGTATTTAAAAGTAGCCCCAGGGTTCGATCTCAAGTCTGTTGCAGCACGGAAAGAGTTAAATGTAATATACACACGGTGTTTTTTTCAGCTCGAATCCCAGTGGTTATTTCTACTTTTCCAGCCCGGGCATTAGACAAGATGCGACGACTTGCTTTATTTGTGTTCTGTTTAAAATGAACCATACACTGGGTCGCAGACAGAAATGCAGAGCATGGGCTCTCAACCCGAAAGTTATAAATATCCCAGTTAGAACAATCAAAACTTTGGGGACAACCCAAAAATTCGGGGGAGGGGGCCGTGGGGGAGAAAGTTGGGAGAGGATAATGCAATGAAATACCACCTTAGTATTAGGCACGTGTGTGTGTGTGGGGGGGGGTATTTTGTGTGGCAATGAAATGTCCGCTCGTTTCGTCTGAATTTCTCCAGTTACATTTGCAGTATAGATAACACCCCATCCATCAATAACGCTTTAGATCCCTGGTATGGATCCGTGGTTCAGTGTTTAACCCCCTCTCTTCCCACGTACACGATCCAGAAGCTTTGCCCTCACCAGGGGGCCAAAGTGTACCTCGGCTGGTCCCGTTCCAAATCCCAACCCGCGTTTCATCTTAATCACATATGAGCAAATATAATATCTCCCCCCCACCACCCCCGCAGCTTCTCCTCTGCTCTAAACTCCTGCAGGCAGGCACAGTGGGCAGGGAGTTGACTCTTGTTCCTTTCTAACTGGGGCTGATTCTACTTGGCAAACTAGCCCTGCTCCTCCTCCTTCGCGAACACGGGGAGATCCTGAGTTCGAATTCAGCCAGCTGGCTTTCAAGCCGAATGCTTGCGCCGTGGACATCCTGAAACCGCGGCGCGTTGCTTTGTTGTTTGACGGAGGTGCTCGGGGATACAGAGGTGGTGGGGAGGGTTCTCTTTCAAAGGGATAAAGGTTCGGAAGGCCGGTGGGCTCTCCCGGAGCACGCTGGACACAAGTGGGAAAGTTTCCTAGGGGGAGAGTCCAGAGGCGGCAGAGCAGACAACCCTGCGAAGAGTCTCTCCTAGCTCTGACACTGACTTAGGGCTTTTACGCTTCTGCAGCGGGCTCCAGTGTGAATCCCTTGGGGCGAGGGGTGATTATTTAGGTAATCTGGGTGCCCTGAGACGGCAGCATTTTACCTGCATGTTAAACGTTACCATTGCCAGAGGTGGGAGTTAAGGTTGCTTGAGAGAGGGGGGAAAATCTGCCGAGCATTTCGAAGGTGTCGTTCATTTAAAGCAAAACCTTTCCAACGCGCATCAGGCGAAGTGATACTTTCCCGTTAATGACGGAGGTGTCTTCGCAAGGTGGAGCTGCTGACGGACGGAGGAAGCATTGATCGGATAGCTCTCTATCCACTCATCATACAGCTCAGCTTGTCGCTGTGTTATGTTCGCTTTGCTTTACCGTTTAAACTTTAATCTGCCAATTGGTGCTGTAGGTTCACGTCTAAGTCTATATTCGTCATCCTATAATATCTAGGGTCTATTTTACTGCCATTAGATACTCGCACGTTAATGGTACAGAAACTGCCTACCACAACTTGGAGCATTACATCACTTGCCTGGAAAAGACCTTTTGAGCCGTGATTTAGTTGATTGTGGACTTTGAATTCAGTCATCAAACCTTAATCAGCCTCAGACCTATGCATGGGGGAAACCTTCCCTTTGTCTGACCCCGTGTAGCGCCAGGGCTCTGAAGGGAGGTTAGACAAAAACCATACGCAGAGCAAGAGGACTTGTGAGAGGCGAAGCCTGCAGATGCTAGACCAGGTCACCAATACACACCTGAGAGAGGGGTCCTCTGCCCTAGAGACAAGTTACTGAACAACCCAGCGAGGGAGTGACGGCCAGAAACAGCCCCCTCCGACCCCTAAAGACACCGCTGCAAAATGTTAAGCATACAACACTTCAGTAAGAAACTTCGGAGCTAATGCATCGTCCAGTACCCTCGCTCAAGGAACAATCATTCGATCACGAATGTGATATGGGCAGACTCCAGTGTATGACTCGCTGTAGATAATATACAGGTCTATACTGTAGGGGGTAGGCTTGAAAAAAAATAGTAATTTTGGAGCTTTACAATTTTTTTCAGGGTATAAAATGCTCCGTCACTTAAGCACGTTCAGCAATTGAAACCCCAGACTAAATAAAAACCTAATTGTGTAGGGGTGCGGGGCGGGGGGGGGGGGGAAGGAATGGAAATTTACACCATCTGTATGGCTTCATAGCCCGGCTATACACATCGCATCCCCCCCTGAAATCATAAGTGCAAACTTCTTTCATCGTGACCCATTTCAATGCCAAAATGTGGTGGTGATTTTAATACCAATAAAAATACAGGCTGAGGATGGGCATATATTTTAAAGTATAGTCTGGCGGTTCGTTTCGAACGTGCCTTACTGCTTTCCCCGAGTCAGAATCACGAAGAGTTCACACCTGGTTATTTCACTCCATCTCCGCTACACCGCGAGACGAAGGTGGGAGGAATTTAGAGCCACTGCAATTGAAAGGTCGCGTTTTAAAATCTCGTGCAGATACACACCTCAATCCGTGTGGTTTTTGGCTGAATCACAGATTAGACATTTTTGTTACGTTCGCAGCCCTAAATTCTCTGTGTTAGGAACACGATGGACCAGACATTCAATAGGTTCAAAAAAGTAAGAAGCAAAAACCGATTGAAAAACGACTATAAAATCACTCTTTAAAAATACCCCTCTATCCCTCTGCTGCTAATTTCTGAGCGCTTGCTGATTGATACATTTAGCCCCGAAGAAGGATTTCCCCCATATAACCTATTAGTGGGATGTTGGGTCTGAAGTTAGTTTTGTGAAGAAACAAAAACGGGCAGGTCAGAAACTCGGCTCCGCTGGGGAGGTGGGAGGGAAAGGACGGCACTTTGCCCCCTCGTACCTCTTTTCTTTTTTTCTTTTTC